CGTTTTCTATAGCTGTCACAGGAGCTATGCGAGGAATTCGTCTTGCGAGACTTATATATATCTGTCACGTTTCATTCTCGTGTTATTCGTAAACTAACCATTCTACAGGTGAAAAAGGCAATAATATTAAGTATTTCATATTATTATTGTTTTAAAAGTTTGTTTCTATCAGCATTTGTTATTGATACTAGTCAAAAGATACATCGTTCTCTTCAATTTTGTATTCTACTTTAATTAATCGTATTTGACATATATTGCAAATGAAAGAATCCCAAAAGGTCTAAATCGAAAAGAGTCAATATTTTCGGTACTTATTTCGGTATAGACACCGATACCGGTACATACCTAGTCAACAATGTAAATAATGAGAAAAATGTTTTCACGAGATTTCCGAATTTTTCTCAGATCGGCCTGAAGCCCACATTGGACGCTGAGATATACTTCACTCCGACTGTATGATTTTTTTGTTGATAGAATGGGAAAAATCTCTCGGTTGTTTCAGTTTCGCTTTTCGCTTACTAAATAAAAGTATCTTCTCTTACAAAACATTTTTGATATTTTATTTTTTTTATTCAAAACGATAACTACTGTATCTCCTCATTCAGAAGCAAACGACGAAAATTTTTTCTTCTAGTTACATATCGAAGCACTTGAGTGACAACATATACAGGATTGGGACTGTTTGTCCTCATTTAGAACAGGTGATTTCTCTTTAGTTGCATCTAGTTGGAAATCGCCTTGCAGTAGATGCATCGCCCGATTTTAACGATAGGATGGAATGAAATTGACTTACATCGGTGTTCAAGTAGATGAATCGAGGGATATATCCCACGATGCATCGCCCAATACATTGTACGATGTATCGGCACCTTCATTGGGCGACTTCATGCGTGTCTGACCTGCAGCCGATATCCAACTAGATTCATCTTCCGATATATTGCCCGATGAATTGGGTTAAAAACGTTACTAGATACATAACTAGTTATATCTAGAAAAGAATCGGCTGTATCTAGATGTACCCGATTCAACTATTTCTCTTTTTTACGCATCTAGATGTATCGCGTTTTGTATCTAGTACATCTAGCTGCATCGGGTGATACCCGATACATTTTTCATGCTTGGGATGGCATTAAACACACATCGAAACCATGTGTACTATAATGAAATACACATATTAACATTTGTTACTTCAAATGTGATATTTTTATGTATATAAACCATCTACTCACTGGAAGTATGCTGACTGAAAAAAACAATGAAACTAATTTTCTTCGTATTCTTTCTTAGTATATGTATCAGGGAAATATATTGTCGCTATGATCGCAAACATCATCACAGTTATCTGAAATCGAAGAATCCAACATCACCGCCATCTTCGCCGCTTATAAGTGGTTCATCCAGCAATTTGACATTTGATTTTGTTCGAGGAAACGTTGGTGTTGGGAACGTTCCATACGGTCGACTTGTTGCTGCAAATGTAAGTTAAACAACATTTAGTAAAGCTCTTATTGTATATAGGCATCTGATCATGAGCCAATGAACTTTGGGAAGGACTTGCACTTGATAGACCGTATAATCCATAATCCTACTTACCATTCCAACATGGGTTTTTGTGTATTTGCTCTAGGCTGAAACATTTCCAGTATTAGATGGTCGTAATTTGGCTATGGCATATGTACATTATGAACCATGCCAACTATTTGTACCACATTCGCATCCATTTGGCGATGAATTGTTTTATGTTGCGAAGGGCAAAACAATGAGAGCGTCATTTGTTGATATTATAAGTGGGAAGTTGATCGTAACTGAGATTGGAGAAGGTCAAGTTTCATTCATTCCACGTGCTTCTATTCATTATCAACAAAATTTAGACTGTAAACCAGCCCTGGTTCTATCGTTCTTCAATAGTGGGGATCCGGGTGCGATGGTGACATTTCAAAGTTCATTTCCAAATATACCCTATGATGTAATCAAAGAAAGTTTAGGAGGAGGGAAAATGGTGAATGAACAATTAATTGAACACATCAAAGCAAAAGTATCGACGTTATTAGCAGTAGAAGACA